AAGTATGAAAAGCCTAGATCTATCGTACACACATCCAAGTGACGTCCAAGAAGCCTGAACATTTGAAGAGTAGTCACTATTACCCAGAAAAATATTCTACGAATATAGGTCTGGATGCGTTGTCAACATTTGAGAATAATAGGTCATTGTCTCGATTATCCGGTCTTTTATATTATCATAAACAAAGTCTAAGGGTGGTAACTAGTCCTAAAACAAGATGTTGACGCCCGTGAAATTAATTTAAGAATGTCATTTCAGAAAATCCATTTGATTGCATTGCCAGTTTAATACCCAACACTCCTATTTTTTTTTATTTTAACTCTTTCTTGGCATGTCCAAATATACTGCATAATCAACTACATAAAAAAAACATGAGCAATGGAACTTTTCGTCAAGTATTGGCAACGTCCCAAGACCCTCCGTATGTTGAAAACTAGGGGGTTCTGGGAGATCGCGATCAGTGGCATTCTACCTCCTATCGCCACTAGAGGGGCCATATTTTCTTGCCGCCACCATTGAGAACCACCGAAGAATTTCGTATAAATAAAGTTTGATGTAATGTAAAACACTAACGAGTTTATATTTCAAACAAAATCCATAGTTAATGTGTTTTTACAAACCAGTGTTTATTTTTAAAAAAAATTTTTTTAGTTATTTTTAAAAAAAAAATAAAATAACGACAGAAAGGATCCCAGATGCAACTTCATAATCTATTTATAGCTCAAATGTACACGACTTGCGCGACTCTGATTCAATTATTCTGTTTTTCTACTTTCGTTTTCCATTTATTTTATAAATTTAACGGGTTTAAATTCGATGATGTGGCGTCGACATTTAAATAAATCAAAATTATTTTGTTAAATCGATAACATAAAAGAAAATGCAGTTATATTGTTCCGTAAAGTCTCTTTTAGGCCATTTGCACGTTGTACTCTAATTGATTTATTAAAATTTGATTAGGAAAACAAAATATCATTATCAACGGTAGATAATCTCCTGGATTCGATTTAAAGATACATTATGGAAGATTATATAAAGAGCTGGTAGTTCTCACTATAATAGTTAAAAATTAGATAATGTAAAGGCAATTTGCTCAAAATTTCAGTCGACCCATTCTGAACCGGGATTTTAGTAATTAAATATTGGGGCTAGCCTCGATCATCATTACTAAAATCGATCGGATAAAAAAACATAGTCTCGATTATCCATTTTTTTATTTAATTATGAATGGAAGTCGAACAGCAAATCAGAACCTAATCCAATAAACATCGCAGGCTAGCGATGACATCTAGAGTTGATTATGGTCTGGATAAGTTAATTAATGTCTAATTCATAATTTAGATAACATTTCATGCCTTTATAAAGACCTGCAATAGGCAGATTTAGCTCTTGCATAATGTATGTTTAATAAAAGGCTCTGCAAAGATTAGGCCTACTGTTATCTCTGGATTTTGACCATAATATCCTTTGTATATCGGTTCTTATCCCGTTCTTTGACTGATATGTCTGTTCCAGATCGGTGGCTGAGTTGTTGAGAGGTTGGCTCGCTATCCTGTAGATCATGGGTTCCATCGGGGTTTTTCCCTTTGTCAGTGATGTAGGACAGAGTGTCTGCCAAAAGACAACGTAGAGTTTCTCGGATGGGACGATAAACCGAGGCCCTGTTTATACATTGGCAGTTGGGATTAGACATAAGCGTAGGCCGTAGCACCCTGCATGACGTATGCCCGTCATCATTAGCCCTTAGTAGGAACACAACAGTAGAACGTTAGACACAATTCCATTTCCTTTTCCAGATTCAACTTTCATATAAAATATATTCATCCTTCTTAGATATCTGACATACATTACGTCATATCCGGTTCTAATCTGATAGACTACGCGACGATAAAAAAAAATAAAAAAATGTAGAGAAACCAAAGTCCACCTTTCGTAATTTTTGTAATTTGGACCCGAATGTCGCCAATAAAGTACTGACTAAAGGACGTTCCATCCATGCATTTACACATAATTTGTTCAAAATCAGATCATATTTCATTGTCTGGACTGTTTCCCTTTCAATTTGAATGACTTTGACCACACCTCTCCAAGACCTTGATCAATCAACGAAAATTTAGAAAAGAACAGATCTTATGGTGGGAATTCAGTCTGTCGTTTTAAATCATAAGGCCTGTCAATGAGTCAAGTGACATACTTGGCTTTCATACCACGCTTGTACGTGACAATCAGTATGATCGCCTGCCCATCTTCGTCGGTTTTCACTAGAACAGTTGTTAGTGCGACAAATGACCTAGACTGAGTTAAATTCAATATCTCTCTGTCTATAGATGTATATATTTAACATCTAAAAAAACAACAATGCCAAGAAACTTCCGGTGTTTCAAAAGACAGATATAAAGATATCAGAAAGCCCCCAAACTCTGGGGGATCACGGTGGCTAAGTGGGTAGGCGCTGGCTCGCTAGCCTGGAGGTCGGGTGTTCGATCCCTGCATTGGCCGAGAAAGTTCATCCCGATTTTCCGGCGTGGTTCTCCCTTGTCAGTGATGCAGGACGGAGGGGCTGACAAGGACAGCTGTCTAGTCGTTCGGATGGGACGAAAAACCGAGGTCCCGTGTACTCATTGGCGTGCACGTAAAAGATCCCCTGACAGTTGGAATTCGATATAAGAGTAGGCCGTAGTGCCGCTGTCCGGGCAAAATTTCCCTCATAGCACACTGTATGGCGTATGCCCGTCTTCATTAGCCCAGTTCGGAGCAAAACAGTAGGACGTTAAACCCCATTTCATTTCATTTCATTTCCCCCAAACTCTCGTTTATTAGCATGGAGTAGTCCGATTATTCAAATGGCAGTTAATATAACTTGTTGCATTTCTCTTCATTTCCATTTCATATGTTAGCCTGGATATGATTGAGTAGAATCGATGAAAAGGGCTGACATCTGCATATTCTTCCAAGTCTGGGCCAATATTGATGATTTTCAGACTCATTAACTCCAGAGTTAAGAGGCTGGTTACGTTGAAATGTAGGGTAGCCATAGGGCAGACAGTTGTATGTTATTTGTATGTTTCAAGGGTGACCTTCATGCATGATTTTGATCAAGAGGTTCTATCTGTCATAGAATACGCTCAACATCACGAAAATTTGAAGAAAAAAAAGTTTGATTCGGTGAAAGTCACGAGAATTAACATTAGTGTCAATGAGAAAATCAGTCGTGGTCAACTGCTCGGTCATAACGGTGTTTCGTTACTAAGTGAAGGGAGATAACTCCAATTGATGACTTTAATATGGAATCAGACTACTAATTCTCTTTTCACTGTATACTCTACGACATACATAACATTTTGTGGCCTATATATAACATTTTGTTGAACATTCCGATGATGTTAATCTTTATATATAGAGATAAAAATGAGGTTTAACGCCCACTCGGCACAAACTAGATAATTTCGCGAATAAAATAATGGTTAAACTAGGTTTAACGCCCACTCGACACAAACTAGGTAATTTCGCGAATAAAATAATGGTTAAACTTTTATTTCAATAATTCGATTGCGCGTATGGGTCTTTAGCAGTGGGAGGAAACTGGAGGACCCAGAGAAACCCCACGAGGTTGGACTGGCGATGCTACTCCTTGTCACGTACAACCGGGAAATCGAAACTACGCCATTTGACTCAATGACAGACCTTATGATACAGCACGCACGTGCTAACCATTCGGTCATCCAACCCCTCGTTAATCATTATAACCGCAAATATTGAAGGGGGTGATAATCTCAATATGCTTTCTTCTATATCCACACTCGACAAACTTCGGCAGATTCCGGTACTCTACATCTAGCCTCGGTTGTTCACACTTTGAAAGCTTTGTATGATAAAACCTTATCGTCTTTATCATGCAAATGATACAAATATGTGAATTGTGGGCAAATATATATAGAGTAATTGTGTATCCATAAAATAGTGTCATTATTCTCCCCACCTAATGGTCCCCTAATCAAAAGTGTTAAGCTTTAATTGCATTTGATTATTATCTTTGTTGCATATTCTGTATATATTCTGTATATATTCTGTATTTATATTTGCCTACTATTCACATACCTGTATCATTTGCTTGATAAAGATGAGAGTATTAACATTGAAACGTTGCTTAGTATCAAACTTAGTAATTGTGTATCCATAAAATTGTACCTTGTGTTAATATGTTCAATTACTAAATGCCATTCAAAGAAGATAAACAAAAATACATTTTACATATCTGATAGGACAAATGTCTGATTTGTGAAACAAATATTGATTTTAAGATACAGATGTTAATTTTAGTGTACAAATGTCGAAATACGACAACAATGAAGAAATAAGAATTAAGGACTATGAATTAATAACTAAGAACTAAGAACACTGAATAAAGAGCTGTTTGGTCTTACATGAAATGTAGGGTCCTTGAGTCTACTGAGGATTGCCGAGTGCTACGCCCATTCAGAGGAATCTATAGCCAGTGATGTATGTGGTTGGGTGGGGTCTTGGGAGAGGAATGTAAACCTATACGTATACGAACTACGTGTATGTGTGTGTGTGGGGGGGGGGGAGGGGTCAATAAAGTCTCAGCTTTGTATTTGTCTGTCTGGAACAAATATAACTGCAGCCGAGAATAGACCACATTACGGGAAGATATTAGCCTTTGTAGGTTTGACCAGTCTTGTGCATTAATTTCTACCACCGTACTGGTTGTTCGAAGCTAAGTCTCGCTCCTCCATTTTTAGCTTAAATCAAAATATGGCTGAACCTTTCTAATCTATTTAATTTTGTGAGGAATCCGATGCCATCGAGAGTTGATTATGGCCTGGATAAGTTAATTAATGTTTAATTAATAATTTAGAAAAAAAATCAGGCCTAAAGAAAGACCTACAATATGCAAATTTAGCTCTTCCATAATGTTTGTTTAAGTACATTTTATTCTAACAAAATGATGGTTTATACAGATAAGGTTTAAACAAGCGATTCAAATATACACACGCAAGACACAGATCTACATAACAAAACATACACATTACACAAATATACATACACAATACATAATATATATACAAAATACACAAATATACATACACAAGACGCAAATAACACACGGTATTTTAACAAAATGATGGTTTATGCAGATGAAGTTTAAAAAAGCGATTCAAATATACAGACACAAATATACATACACAATACACATACACAATATACAAATATACATACACAAGACACAAATATACATACACAAGACACAAATATACATACACAAGACACAAAATATACATACTCAAAACACAAATATACATACACAAGACACAGATACATATACAAAAGACACAGATATACACACACAAGACAATACATACACAATGCATAGATATACACAAGACACAAATATACACACACAAGGCACAAATACCACACGGAACATAACAAATAAGCCATTTAAAAACAAAACTATATGCCCTTAACAGTTTTTGTTCCACTGCGCTTTTGGTCAAAAACAAAATCCCTGATAGCCTACTGAAGATAACAAGCATCGTAACAAGATATTTAACTCACAAACACACTTAAAATAGTTTTACTCATCTTCTGTTGGTCAGAAAGGTACTATTATTATATCGGAAACCGTCTTCATTATTCCGACCAGACCAGAGCAGTAGGATGTTAAACCCCATTTTATTTCAATTATAACTAAAAAATAAAATGAAATGAAATTATGATTAGAGGCCTATCGGGTGTATTGTTGTAGAATCACTCTTGATAATTGGGATTCGAATTAATAGCAGGTCGTAGTACCACTGTCCGGACAAAATGTCCCTCATAGTACACTGTATGGAATACCCGTCTTTGTTAACCCAGTCCGTGCAGAACAGTCGAACGGTAAACCCCATTCATTTCATAATCCTTGAGTATCATTTAGCGATTGAACACATTAAAAACACAACACAGTTTATATGGAAATACAATCACTGGTTTATAAGTATAGCACGACGTTTCGACAAGTATTCTCTTATCGTTATCAAGCACAAATGATATTTAGTTAAACTAAAAGTTGATTTTTATAGTATAACAAAAAAGAAGCCATAGATAAATGGTGTTATAATACAAGATAATAACTAATATTTAAGTTTTAATTATCCTTTGATCAATTTATACCTTATTATACATTTCTTATTAATAGGGATTCAAATTGTGTTTATTTTGTCTATATCAAATATATGGCTTTGTTGCTCCCTGGTCATTGTTAACCCATGATTACTGTTAACCCCTTTCAATTAACTATATTTAAGTTTTAATTATCCTTTGATCAAATTAACTATTATCTTGTATTATAACACCATTTATCTATGACTTCTTTTTTTCTTTCTTCTTTTTTTTTTTTTACTATAAATATCACCTTTTAGTTTAACTAAATATCATTTGTGCTTGATAACGATAAGAGAATACTTGTCGAAACGTCGTGCTATACTTATAAACCAGTGATTGTATTTCCATATAAACTGTGTTGTGTTCCCATTCATTTCATTTCGTTGTGAAAATCAAAATATTCCTAACCAATGTTTTAGGCGAAGATACATTGAAGTCTATTGGGACAAACAATCCAGCGCCCGTGTACCTATTGGCGTCTTTGATCCCTGCATTGGCCGAGAAAGTTCATCCAGATTTTCCGGCATTATTTCCCCTTGTCAGTGGTGCAGAACTGAGGGCCTGACAAGGACAGCTGTCTAGTCCTTCGGATGTTACTAAAAACCGAGGTCCCGTGTATACATTGGAATGCACGTAAAAGATCCCTTGGCAGTTGGAATTCGATATAAGAGTAGGCGATAGTGCCGCTGCCCGGGCAAAATTTCCCTCATAGCACACTGTATGGCGTATTCCCGTCTTCATTAGCCCAGGTTAGGAGCAGAACAGTAGGATGTTAAACCCCATTTCATTTCATTTCGTTGTGAAAAACAAAATATTCCTAACCAATATTTTAGGCGAAGATACCCTGAAGTCTATTGGGACAAACAATCCAGCGCCCGTGTACCTATTGGCATTTTATGACGTCATATGTGGATTATGGGTTAAGTGCGGGTTAGACTTGGCTCAGGGTTAGGGTTAGGGCTAGCCCTGTCTACATCTCGAAACTATGACGAAATCTGCAGGTCCTAGCCCTTACCCTAACCCTTATCCTAATCCACATTTGACGTCATAAAATGCGCAGGACCGTCTCCGATCTAGCGTTCTCCCCCGAAATGACCTAGTTTGTGCCGAGTGGACATTAAACCCCACTTCTCTCTCTCTATTGGTGTGCACGTAAAAGAAACCTTGACAGTTAGAATTCGATGTAAGAGTAGACCCTGGTGCAGCTGTCCGGGCAAAATATCCCTCATGGTATAGGTATAGGTCCGACTTCCTTAGCCTAATTCGGAGCAGAACACCATTACGTTAAATCCCTTTTGATTTCGTTTCATTCACTCACCATTATACGCTCTGAAGAACTTATTGGTGGTTGACTTTCTTGAACAGCTGTAAATCCTATAACGAAAATAAACAAACAAAATGTATCACATTTTTGGCGCGAAATATTTTTCATCTAAAAGGAAATATCAGTAGGTTGATTTTTCATATTCCGTCACAAAATAGCCTTTGTGGTCTTTGTAATTATTTTATCGATATGAAGGTCATAATCTCTATTGCCAAAACTAATTGCTTCGTATATTTTTCTAAATTTTCTTATAATCAATGGAATAACAAGAAGGTCACTGGTTCGGTCCCGGAGTAGACTGAGAAAAGTCCTCGGAATATTCCAACGCAGAATCCATTTGTCGGTGATATGGGACGGAGGGGTTCGGCGTCTTGTCGCTGGGAAGGCACAAAAACCGAGATCCAGTTACACGTTGCACGCGAAAGACCTCTGACAATTGGAATTTGACGAAGTGGCGCCAGGCAGGGTAAGCTTACTCTTCCGGACACCTGTTACCACTGTTTGTCGTGTATTTTGTACACGAGGAGCAGTCCATTTGCTGATTACACTATTTTGCTTGAATACACTATTTTGCCTATAACGTTTTTTAGGACTTCGAATTCTATCTTATGGTTTGGATTATTCGTACTTGGTTTTATTTTATTGTCTGGGAGGAATTTCACTCATAGCACATTGTGTGGCATATTCCCGTCTTCATGAGCCCGGTTGATGCAGAATTGTAGAATTTAAGCCCTATTTCATTTAGACCTGATGTTAAAAGACATTGTCCTAGCTTTACAATAACAATAAATAGTATTTGCCAGGCAACGACACACACTCAACACCCCACATAGCTTGTGGATCTTTAGGTAAATGGAAAGCAAAATAGAGAGTTCACAAGATTTTACAAGTTGAACAAGGGCCACAACTCTAGAAATAATTACCCTTAATTGTTGAAACTATACAGGATATTGGGTTGTGCTATTATAACAATGCATAGAAATGGCAAACACATAGGAAATAAAAATAAAATGAACTGAAATCATTAGATTCTTCACAAGATTTTACAAAGAGATCAAGGGAAATAACTCAGGGAGTTATTATCATAAACCGATACAACAGGTAACTTTTAACACGATCGGGTAATAAATGTTTTCTCTAGAGTGTTCACAAGAATTTGTGGAAGACGCATCGACGGAGGGGTGGACGGGGTTGGTGGTAATCCACAACCATGAGGATTTAAATAAGCATCAAAGAACAGCATGTTTTACCATTAGATGTGCAAACGTCTATTGCGCAATCCCGCTTGCTTGTGTCTGTGTTTAACATGATCAGGTAATAAATGTTGTCTGTAAAGTGTACACAAGAAACTGTGGAAGGCGGGTCGAGGGACAGACGGACAGGGTTGGTGGTAATTCACAACCACAAGGCAACAAAGAATAATGTGTTTTACCATTCGATGTGCAAACGTCTATTGCGCAATCCCGCCTGTTTGTGTCTGTGTTTCCCTGTTCTAGTAAATCTTGTTGCACTGTAAAGATATATAAGACATATGTATAACCATATATAACCATATATAAATCATATGTATACACTTCATGCTGAAAGATGTATTATGTAAGACCTAAATTTACATATTGCAGGCCTTTCAATCTGGTTAAACACAGATCCTATTTCGTTTCGTTTTTATATTATTCAAAATTTCATTTTACTTGTCTTTACTACACTTGGATCTAAAAGAGTTGTTATTTAACTCGTGTTCTGAATGGTGTCAGGGATAAGCCAATGAAACGGTCTGTTACGGCGAGCTTTGGGTGTGTTTTGCACGGAACTATGGGTAATCCACTGGTAACATCAATGCTGATTGGTTAATAAAATGTCTGACGTCATAGGGTCATAAGTCGGTCTTTTGATCCCTGACGTGACCTATCGCTATAACTTGTCAGATCTTCATGTAGTGTAGGCCATCGAAAGTATAAAAAAAACGAAACGAAATATAGATCTGTATTTTAATCAGATTGCAGGTGTTGATATTGGCTTCAAATGCTACATATTTAGATATTTATTCACATGACAAGCCCATACACAACTCTATAAACCATCGGATGGCGGAGATTTAAATGGATTAAAATCCGGTCGCCATTTAATGATTTAATTAAAAATGGTGAATCATGGGATATCGTTAATATTTTAATGAATTATATCGTTTATGATTATTAAAATTAAGACCAAATTGTGCAAGGTAGGTCTAATACAACGGGACTCTCCGACAGGACAAAATTCACCATTTAATCTATAGTGTCTATAACTAATATATACAAACTATTCAATTAATAGTGCTTTTTCATTATTCATATCATACAAGAAGCTAGATTTCACTGAAAAGGAACTGTAGGGCTATTTGTTCGTGGTGAATCATATGCGTGAACGACATAATGGCCTACAATTCCTTTTCAGTAAAATCTAGCTGAAGCAATTGAACACATTAAAATAAACACAACAGTTCTATGGATAACTGTTTTCTTTTAAGCTACGTTTCAACAATGATTCTCTTGTCGTTATCAAGCACAATACTGATACAGACAGAAGGTACGAAATATATACACTATGTGCGTTAGATCAGAAGGTCTGTCATTAAGTCTAATGGTGTGGTTTCAATTCCCCGCATGTAATCTCTCTCTCTCTCTCTCTCTCTCTCAATCTCTCTCTCACTCTCTCCTATGTTTAATCGAAATCCTAGAAAAGATGACTGGCAAGCGAATATAATCATTATTATTTGACTCACCTTCCACCCTACCTCTGGTTCTTCCCGATTTTTTCCTACAGAGTTTAATGAGTATTGCAGAAACAACTACCAGACCTGGTACTCCTATTGCTACAACAAAACACAAAATATGTCATCGTTAGATTCAATCAGTTTTATTATTGTTGTTGTTGTTTATTACAATATTAACGTCCAATTATAAGTGAAATGAAATTGAGTTTAACTTCCTACTGTTCTGCTCCTATACTAGGGTAATGAAGATGGGTATACGCCATACAGTGTGCTATGAGGGGAAATAAATGAAATGGGGTTTAACGTCCTACTGTTCTGATCCGACTGGGCTAATGAAGACAGGCATACGCCATGAGGGAAATTTTGTCCGGACAACAGTGTTACATCCCACTCTTATGTCGAATTCCAACCGAGCCACCACAGCTGCCATTTTGCGAATGATTCGTACATAGAAGAGTGTGAGGTTGTGTACTATATACCTATGGCGTGACCTTTATTCCACCCTTGAACAATACTGCTGGTGACAGGACTTGGCCGTGTTGTAGTGTCATATGATCTTGGCCGTGTTGTAGTGTCATATGATCTTGGCCGTGTTGTAGTTTCATATGACCTTGGTCGTGTTGTAGTTTCATATGATCGTGGGATAGTCAATATTGACGTTGGCTGGTTTGTAGCTTCATATGACCTTGGTATATTCAAGGTTGTCGTTGGGTAGGCAGTAGTTTCATATGACCTCTGTATATTCACGGTTGTCGTGAATTGTTTCAAATAATCTGAAAAATCAGATAAACACAACATCAATTGTACGGAAGCGTATAAGGACCAAATTCTCAATAAGTCCTAATTAGGGGATATTGCGACCTAATCAGGAGATATTACGTTCTAATCATGGAATATTACAACCTAATTAGTAGATATTACGTGCTAATCTGGAGATATTACGTCCTAATTAGGAGATATTACGTACTAATCTGGAGATATTACGTCCTAATTAGGAGATATTACGTACTAATCTGGAGATATTACGTCCTAATTAGGAGATATTACGTACTAATCTGGAGATATTACGTCCTAATTAGGAGATATTACGTACTAATCTGGAGATATTACGTACTAATCTGGAGATATCAGGACCTGATTAGGAAATAGTAACTCTTATAAACAAGATTTAAAGTCCTAATTAGGAAATATTAACTCCTAATTAAGGAGGAGGGGGGGGGGGGTAACGTCCTCTGTAAACAAACTAGGTCATTTCGGGACTAACACATGGTTCCATTTTATTTCATTAATTCGCTTGCGCGCAAGGATCTTTAGCAGTGGGAGGACCCGGAGAAAACCCACGAGGTCGGACAGGCGAATCCACTCCTTGAATTCATTTCCTGTCTTCCGTAGTAAAATTAAATGAAATAGGGTTTAACGCCCTACTAGTCCCATTGTCCGTACACGGTACAATATATTTCCGATGTTGTCAATGTCACGTGATATACAATGATCAAAATAATTATGGCGATCAGTTATCAAAGTATTACGAGAGATATTAAAAATGAAACCTGCTTGGGTAAAATTGTTCAATAGTCATCAGGTATTTCAAATAAGATCATCTACAGGTAATCGTTTAGTGTGACCTAATTTTGTGTACTATTCAAAGATTACAATATCCCCGACCGGGTATTCCCAATATGTCATAACCTATCCGAACGTCATTTACCTACCTTAGTTAAAGGGACATTACGATTAGATAACCTATCTCAACGTCATTTACCTACTTTGTATAAAATTAGTTAAAGGGACATTAGGTACGATTAGATAATGAGCATACAGTTCTCACTATAATAGTTAAAACATAGCTAATGAAAACAAAATATGATGAAAATATCAGTCAAATTGCTTCACTCTGAACCGAGATATTAACGATTCAATTTTAGGCTAGCCTCGATCATCATTACTAACGTTGATATGATAATAAAGAAAGTCTCAATTATCCATTTTTACGTTAAATTATACATTACAAAATTTATTCAAATCCACTAAATATCACGAGCTAACGATATGTCTAATTAAAGATACATTATGGGAGAATCGATAACGAGTTGGCAGTTCTCACTTTAATAGTTAAAAGCTAGATAATGTAAAGGCAATTTGCTGAAAATTTCATTTAAATTGATCCACTATGAACCGGGAACTAAGCGATTGAAATTTCCGCCTAGCCTCGATCATTCTTACTAAAGTCAGTACGATAAACAGCATAGTCTCGATTATCCATTTAATCGTTAAATCGTGAAGAAAAGTTATGCAGTAAATCGCCTCATAATCAGCTAAAGATCGCGGGCTAGCGCTGCCATCTAGAGTTGATTATGGCCTGGATAAGTTAATTAATGTCTAATTAATAATTTAGATAACATTTCAGACCTAACGAAAGACCTGCAACAGACAGATTTAGCTCTTGCATAATGTATGTTTAATTCAGGCCTAAAGAGGTAGATTTAGTTGTTGTATAATGTCTGTTTAACGCTATGCTACCAGGTGTGGATTATTTACTATTTAAGGATAACGGGTATTCCCAACAGGTGTGTCTAACAGGTGTCCTATAATAACCTGTTATTCTTTATCATAATAAAAGTTACAGTGGATTGGTTTTCTTTGATCAGGGCCTAATCCACTCAGGTATGTGACCCACCTTCATTATATAAATATGCATTACGTAACAAATGAAATGAGGTTTAACGTACTACTATTCTACACCGACTGGGGTCAACTGGCGTGGTTTCGATTCCCCGGTTGTACGTGACAAGGAGTAGGGTTGCCTGTCCAACCTCGTGGGTTTTCTCCGGGTCCTCCGGTTTCCTCCGGTTTCCTCCCACTGCTAAAGACCCCTACGTGCAAGCGAATTATTGAAATAAAATTAAACCATATGTTATTCCCGAAATGACCTAGTTTGTGTCGAGTGGACGTTAAACCCCATTTCTTTCTCTCACACCGGCTGGGATAATGAAGACGGGCATACCCCATGTAGTTTGCTATGAGGGGATTTTGCCCGGACAGCATCGCTACGGCCTACTCTTATTTCGACTGTCAATGATTGTATACATTGTTATGTACCACTGACAAGGGCGAACCACGCCGATGAAATGGGATCCAACACGGCACCTCCAAGTTAGCGAGCCAACGTCCTACTCGCTGACCCACCGCGGCTCTCATCGACTATACTATCTCGTCGAACACGGGACCCCCAGCTGAGCTATCCAACTTCTTACTCACTGAGCCACCGCGACTCCGCCTCGATTATTCAATTGAAGTACGTCAATCAAGAGCAACTGTTTATACCGGAAGTGTGTAGCAACGGCCGCCACAGTGATTCGGTGAGTAAGCCGCTGGCATCATTAACCAAGAAATCCAGGGTTTGATCTCGGTGTTAGCATCAACTTTTACAATATTATAATATGGGAAAGATTCCTGTATTGCTAGGGAGCCACGGTGGCCCAGTGAGTAAAACGTTGGATCGCTAACCGGGAAAGTTCATCTGGATTTTCCGGCAAGGGACAGCATCGTTTGGTTCAACACGCAAACAAAATCTCGATGGCATTGGTACCAAATTAAGAATTGCACTTACCCGGACAGTTGGTCAGACATTCTGATAACTGACCTCTGGCTTCAGCCTTTTTACACAAAACAGCACAATAAAAACATTCCCGTAATCCACTGTCGTAATACTGTTCCGGTGAACAACCATTGTCTTTAGGTGTTTTAGCTTCAACTATCAAAATTAAAACCAGCCATGTCATCAGATCTAGATGTCTAGATGTAATCAAGCCCCGTGTCATGCTCCCACGCTATCAATCGTAAGAAATAATTAAAGAGTCAGCCCTTTTTTCTTTTATGATTGTTAAACGGGAATGCCCTATGAGCTATTTTTAACACATGGGTGGAATTACCCAGATAGGAGCCTTTTTATAGATATTGCAATTAAACAGTCAGCCCTTTTTTGTTTATGATTGTTAAACGGGAATGCCCTATGAGCTTTTTTTAACACATAGGTGGAATTACCCAGATCGGACCCTTATTATAGATATTGCAAATTGCCAGATTTCTATAACCGTACCTTTCTAGATATAATCAAGACCCGTGTCATGCTCCGACCCGTGTCATGCTTCGAACATAAGAAATAGTTAAACAGCAAGCCCCTTTTTTGTTTATGATTGCTGAACGGTAATGCCCTATATGAGCTATTTTTAACACATGGGCGGAATTACCCAGATCCGACCCTTATTATAGATATTGCAAATTGCCAGAATTCTATAACCGTACCTTTCTTTCTACGTATTGGAAATGAACTGTATTTAACGTTCGACTTTTCTACAGCAATCTAGATAATGAAGACATCAGTGCAAGAAAAAAAATTCTATTGTTCATCGGATTTCAGCTGCGTGCGCGCGTGCGTGCGTGTGTGTGTGTGTGTGTGTGTGCGTGTGTGTGTGTGCGGGAGGGCGGTGGGGGGGGTGGGGTGACTGATTGTCACGTATGAAAATATTATCTTTATCATATTAAGTGGATATGGGTTACGGCATAGTTTGCCGTGGTTATACCAAGTAATCGTTGTATATTCACGCTGGTATTGCTGCATATTTCAAGGTCAGAAGTATTTGTACATTAGAAAATATAGTATATATGTTATTGTTGTTTATTACAGTTTATGACAACTGGTGAACATGTTTTCAGATTATGGTAATAAAGTTTGATTTATAAACATTTGATGGTGTAGTTTATTTGTAAGATGTATAGTAGTTAACATTTGCTTAGTAAGTGCTAACATTTTGCTTGAAACTTTGGGGATTTGTGTTCTTGGTGTCAGAAGCTTTCCAAAAATGATAGTTTGTTTAGCAAGAAGGACTTTGTAAAAGAACCTCATGCTATAAATTCTGGCTGCAGAGAGAGAGAAAGGGAGAGAAAAAAAATGGGGTTGAACGTCCACTCGATCAAACTAGGTCATTTCGGGACTAACATATGATTTAATTTTATTTCAATAATTCGCTTGCGCGTAGGGGTCTTTAGCAGTGGGAGGAAACCGGAGCACCCGGAGAAAACCCACGAGGTTGGACAGGTGACTCTACTCCTTGTCACGTACAACCGGGGATTCGAAACCACACCAGTTGACTCAATGACAGACCTTATGATACAGCGCGCACATGCTAACCATTCGGCCATCCAACCCCGGTGTTGGCTGCAGGTTTACAGTCGATAAAGTACAAAAAACACCGCGTTTGTCCGCTGGTGAAAACGCGTACATGGAATGCGGGACCTAAGTCCGTCTTTATTAGTCCGATTGTTGAAGAAAAGTAAAACATTAAATCCTATTTCATTTGCCCCTCACCCCCACTCTCACCCCACGACCTCCTCGACCCACAGCTAGTGTCACCTGGATTCTTACTTTTAAATATGTGAGGGTGGTGGATGGCCGAATGGTTAGTGCGTGCGCGTTGTATCATAAGATCTGTCATTGAGTCAACTGTCGTGTTATCGATTCCCCTGTTGTACGTGACAAGGAGTAGGGTCGCCTGTGGAGGGGGTGGAGGGGGGACGGGGTGATTGTCAAGAAAATGTCAGTCTGGAACCAATATGACTGTAAACGTGAACAGAACACAATTTTTATGGGAAACAATCACAGCTGGTTTTATGCTAACGGCAAGAGGATACTTGTCGAAACGTCGTGTTTATAGATTGTGTCCCATCTAGTTTACCTACACTACTGTTACATTTTAATTAAGTCAAATGTCGTATTAAACATACATTATGCAAGAGGTAAATCTGGCCCCAAGTTCACAAAGCGAGAGAGAGAGAGAAATGGGTTTAACGTCCACTCGACACAAACTAGGTCATTTCGTTACTAACATATGGTTTAATTTTATTTACATAATTCGCTTGCGCGTAGGGGTCTTTAGCAGTGGGAGGAAACCGGAGGACCCGGAGAAAACCCACGAGGTTGGACAGGCGACCCAACTCCTTGCCACGTACAACCGGGGATTCGAAACCACGCCAGTCGACTCAATGACAGACTTTATGATACAGCGCGCGCACGCTAACCATTCAGCCATCCAACCCCCCTAAGTTCACAAAGCATTCTCAGGCTTAAGTTAAAAATTTACTCAACTTTCAATCACTTTTTAAGAGAAATATCTTTGATCCAGAAAAACAAAAATTTGCACATAGTTTCTTATTGACGTATTTGATATATTAAAATAACAAGAGTTTTATAAGGGGCTATATTTAAGTAAAAATAAGACGAAATATTTTGAGTAAAATCTTTATCGTAAGTCTGAGAATGCTTTGTGAACACGGGGCCAGTCTATTCCAGGTCTTTCTTTAGGCCTGAAATGATATATAAACTATTAATTAGACATTAATAAACTTATCCAGACCATAATCAACTCTCCATGTCATCGCTAGCCTGTGATATTTATTGGATTAGAACCCGGTCTGCTGCTGCTGAGTAAATAAAATCTGGATAATTGAGACTATGGTTTTTATCGTACCGACTTCAGTAATGATAGTCGAGGCTAGACCCAAAATTCAATCGCTAAATGCTCAGTTTAGGGTGGATTAACCTATATTTTATTCAATAAGAATGGGATTAGGGGACAGGCTAGGCCTATATCCCCCTCTCCCTTCAACAAAACAATATAATTACAATTAGTTTACTTAAATACATGTATATAGCCGAAACTATTCATATTGTGTTATTAATTAATACAATTGTGCAAGTATACAATAATATTCTACAAATAAAATCTTAATTGATATACATGATGACTATTTTGGTTTAAGGCCTGAAAGTGTACAAATACATGTATGTAAACAGAATCTACTGTCTGAACCATCGTAAATTTTAAACGGATGTCTTCGATTATGAACAAACTACTTAACTTTGGTTATTATAAATTTACCTGTGTGTTTGAAATCAACTCCCGTTAATTAAAATCCATTGCACAATTTAATATCCCAACGAATAAAAAAGTTCTCTCTTGAAAAAATTGAATTCCCACAAACTTTTGACATGGAGAAATACCAAAATGGAAGGCGATTACATCACTCTTCGGGAGAGATCATTTCGTATAAAGAGGTTACAAGATGTCACGGTGTGTGGTACTTTTACGACAATTCAAGTTTTGTGTAATCCCGGTCGGTATTGAGTCTGGGCGTTCACACAAATAACTGTCCGTATTTCTTTAGTTTGTTACTATCTTTAAAGAGCCAATCCCGATAATATTTTGGAGAATAAAACTGGTTAATTTTGTGTTAAAATCACTGAAAATCCTCTACCTTAGGGCCGAGCAACTAACTCAATATATTTGATACGTTTTCAATCAACTTAAACCCGTCAGTCTTAATCTGGAAGTGGGGATCGGTCCCCAAAGCTGTTTTATGCAGTGTCTTAATAAAACCAGCCTTTTATTTTATAAAAATAATGTGTAGGTGAAATTTACCTTTCATTATCAAGTACAACACATGGGTCATTCACTGTGTAAACCTCTAAAAAAACGGGAATCGATTATCAGGTCACCCAACGAAAGAACTGACCCAAAATCTTAAAAGGGTTACGTGTCCGGATAAGCAGTTTTGACGTTCATGTCCAAATGACTCAATATTTTGAGCTGAAATTTTGAGACAGGGAAATACACAATTTCTTTATATTTTGGCGCTTAACTTTCATACGTACTCGGACTTTTAATTTTGAGACTCTGTTCGGGATAGTCCCTTTAACATTCTAGTAAAATCTCTGCAAAGTTTATAGCTTTTACCTGTTGAAATATTTTGTTTTAATCATATTTTTGATTAGAGTCGGGTGAATGAATTTTCTTTTGAACACAAATACGACACAAAAACAATGACATTCGTTTTACAGGTCTTAAATTTTACCCATGAATATCTTTAATCTGATATAAAACATGATAGATCTAACGTACGTGTACAGGGTATTTAAAATTATAGGGCTATATGCATGTTCCTGAAGCAACAACGATGAGTTTTACAACATCAACTTCAACTTCAAATTCAACTTTTTATTTACGTCCATTAAGAACATTATACAAAACATACGCATACATCAATATACATGTATACAAAAATATATTTTACAATCTGATAAGATGTACGTAGTTAAAGCGAGATTAAGCCTTCTATTGAAGGTCGGGGCTATGGTGTGATCTAAGTATTATTTACAATAAATTAAAACAAAAATAATTGATAAAGAATATATTTTCATGATGAACAATAAATATTGCACAATATCACAATACGCTCAGAACTGTCTTCAGTTGATATTTTTCGTTGCCCAAACTCAAATGAGGACGCTTTGTTTTGATTGCAACACGTGGTCATACCCCGCAACAGATTCATTGGTTTCTTCCAACACGGGAGGAAAGCCATGTGTCTTGAACTCAGTCAAAAATACAAGTAAATACGTCAATTTTTTCAAGAGAGAACTTTTTTATTCGTTGGGATATTAAATTGTGCAATGGATTTTATTTAACGGGAGTTGAATTCAAACACACAGGTAAGTTTACAATAACCAAAGATAAGTACTAGTAGTTTGATCATAATCGAAGAAATCCGTTTAAAATTTACGATGGTTCAGACAGTAGTGATGGTAATGATAAATGACGATTACAGTACTTAAAATCTATTACTTAATTCTAAAAAGTTTTGCACCTCAGAAAATATTAATTTATTTTGTTCATCGACTATATCTCTGGACAACAAACTGTAAATGTGGACAGATGCCCACTCAATACATCCACCAAATTATGTCTACAATTTCATTTTTACCCTTATT